TTTGCATATTTCACTATCAGAACAACCCTCATCGATCCTGGTGCAGCCCCTCAGTTCGTCCTCTGGCTGTCATGTTGTTTTTGTTTTGTTGCATATTAGAAACCGAAGCTGTTTCACACTCATGATCAGTATGAACAGAACTGTTTAACTATGTAACTATATTTGTGGCACATTTTTAAGTACATCCTTAACTTTGTTCTACAGGTTTTTTGGGGGTGGTTCAGTGAATTATTTGGCACTTTTGGATTAGCGTTGATAATTCTGATGGTTCTTTACTAAAGAATATATGTCTGTGCAGTCAGAAACATCTTCTGGTAAACAGTCAGCGTTCTTTATTTATTTGATTCTGTCTGTAATTTCTCAGAGCTGTCAGATATTTCTTTACTTTTTCCTAAATTAGATGCTGCGATGATAAAATATTTGATTGTGTCCTCGGACAGTTTATGGAGGAGTTCTGATGGAACAATAAAACAGGCGAGATACGATCTCCGCAGCTCGTGACATCAGCAATGAGTTCACTGATTGTGGAAGTCTTTTAGGAGCAGTGCTGTTGTCTCTGTTACAAATACAAATTTATTTGGCATATAATAATAAAAAAACTATTTACAAGCTGTGTGAAGCAGTCTTCAGTCTTTCTTTTAAAGTAATAGTTCCCTGTGCTTTGGAGAAAAGAGGCAACGATAATAATACTAATAATATAACAGTCTCCCTGGCTAATTTCCTGCTAAAATTAGGCAGGGCTGCAGAATGAAAGAAACAAGCAATAGCAGTCAGTGATGATAAAGGGAAGTCTTGGATTGCTGCCTCCATTAAGACCCACAGCTCATTAAAGTGTACTAAGCAAAAGACAGGAAACGTATTGAACTCCCAGGAAACAAATCAACAGCACAACAGCACAATGAGCACATAGATAGTCAAGAGCTCCAAATATAATTAAAGTTTTACATCATACACAGGCCTCTCTCATTTTTTACATTTGCAAATATTGACTGAGCCGCCCCAGAGTGTTAAAGTATCACACTAATGCAGCTCTCAGAATAGACGAGAGAGATTTTTATTTATTTTATTACCGACAAAGACCACCTCCTGAGAGGCTGCGAACGGGGAAAACTTCCCACTGGGATCAATAACCTATCACCGTATCATTACAATGTGAAAAAGTCTGAGCCGGTGCGTCATTTCTAATCTTTTGCCGTGTAGATCAAGGTGGCAAACTTTAAAAAAACAAGCAAAAAAACAAAAGCTTGTAGTCAGACTTTCCTTCTTTTTTTGTGCAGTTTTTGTGAGTTTTTTTTCCCTTACCCAATGCTGTCCATAAAAGCAGCCAAAAGTTGAACTTTTTGGGGCTTTGCTGAGTTTTTTTTGTCTTCTCCCTCCCATGTGTTTTCATTTGTAATGCAGTAAGCACTGTACAGCAGCTTCTATAAACCTCTGTGATGTTCAAGGTGCATTTACGACACTTTTCGGTGCCAAACAATGAACTTTTTTTGGCCTCAAAGATGAAAGAAGTGATCGATTTGTTTGCCCATCAGTAGTGAGATGATAGCAGGTCTGATGAACACCAACCAGCAGCTTGCAACAGTGACACGAGTCAGAACAGGCTGGTGTAGGTGGTGCAGGCTCAAGCCTCCATTTGATGTTGCTGGACATTTGCGTAAAATCACACTTGGACTTTGGTAGTTTTCATTGTTGGTTGGCGATCGTGGCTCAAGAGTTGGCAGTTAGTCTTGTAATCGGAAGGTTGCCGGTTTGAGCCCCGGCTCCAATAGTCTCGGTCGTTGTGTCCTTGGCAAGTTGTCTGTGAAGTTTCTCAGTCACCAGGTCATCGTAGTCAAAGGAGCTTGCAAAGAAAAGCGTCTGGACTTCTTTAAGTTGCTTGAAAAGCAAGCAACTTAAAGAAGTCCAGATGGAAAAGTCCAGATGCTTTTCTTTGCAAGCTCCTTTGTCCTTGGCAAGACACTTCACCCGTTGCCTACTGGTGGTGGTCAGAGGGCCCGGTGGCGCCAGTCCTTAGGGACCCCAAAGTAAAGCGCTATACAAATGCAGGCCATTTATTTTCTTTCTTCAACTCAAACTGCTGCTCTCTAATTTACACCTAACCTTTCATTTCATGCCTTATCTGCTCTTCAGCTTGGTGTCTGCTGTGATCTCAACCTGCTTCTGTATCCAAACCCTGACTCTGCCACTAAAATACCAGCATTCTGCCTTTTGTTACTGTGCTTCAGGTGCTAAGAACACTTTTTGAATGTGTTTCCAGCGTTCGGTGTGCTTGGAAAAGTCTCTGCTTGTTTTGTACACCTGAAATTTTGCAGTTTATCACCTTCTACTAAAGAAGCCTCTGCTACCATCTTGATGTCTTACCACAGATGTTCTGTGGAGTTTAAGTGTGCACGCTTTGGATCGTTGTCATGCTGAAATGTAAACTCACTCAGAGCTGTTGCAGTCTGGGGCAGGTTTTTCTCAAGGCCCTCTTGAATTTTTATCCACTGCCTTTGTCAATAAGGACCAAATCTTTAGCACCGCCATGCTTTACTTTACTGATGGCATTAGTAAAGTAGCAGACTTTTTACCTTAGTTTTGATCATTACGCAGTGTATTGGTGGGATTTTTTACATTACACACAGGTGTGGTTATGTACATTAACCTGAAGATGGACTTGAGTCAAGCTGTAGTCACATTTAAGTGATAATTAAATAAAAAATAATGCACATGAGAACAATTCAGGCCACAGACAAATGACTCGTAAAGGTTGAAAAAGTTGTTGTTTTTTTTAACTACACTGAGTGTAGATGGATACTTTTTAACAATTTCAAATTAAATCTATATCATAAAGTAGCATGCAGAAATGATAGAGATCAGATAATAGTCATCAAAGGGAAGTTATTATGGGGTGTTCAGGACCAACACAAAGCGTTCTCTTACACTGGAGTGTTTTTGCACTTTCCCCAACCCACAAATATCTCCTGTAACGGCCAGTAGGTGTAGTACTACCTTCTCAAAGTCATGCCAATTACTAAGTGACAGTTTTATATTTCAGGAAATCTGTTTGGTTTAATTGTCCTGTCCTGTCTCTATAAAAGTGAAGTTAACCACACGGCCTCCCTGCAGGCTTCATTTCTGATTGTCGGTGGCATCAGGAGACCCATCAGTCTGAGGGAGCTACAGCTCACAGGCTATCACAAAGCAACATCTAACAGATGTTTTCACCAAAGTTTAATATTTTGACTGCGTGGGTTTCCCTGTAGTCACCCAGTGTGAATTTGAATCAGTTTGCGTGTTTATATGTAATTGCACCATGCAAAAAGTGTCTTTGGCATTTGGTCTGAACTCAATTCCACATTTCATTTGATGCTCACTATGTCTCTGTGTGCTTTGTAGTCTGACAGATGCGAGATAGTCATCCAGCTCCCTTTCTCTATAAATCTTTGTTATTCATCTCCCCAGAAAACTGGTCAAGCTGTGGAGAATTAAGTAAATCATTGTTTTAGGACTGAAACTTGGACTTCTGAGATTACTCTCTGTGGTTGTTGCAGCTATGAAACGTCTCCTAGATAAATGTTTGAACGTTTGACTGTGGTTGTCAGATAAATGTTAGAAGTAAATCACATTTTTGTGTCCAATCAGGTGGCAGCCATCAACCCCAGCCACCCGCTTGCCCAAATGCCCCTGCCGCCCTCCATGAAGAACTGCATCCAGCTTGCCGCCTGTGAGGCCAGTGAGCTGCTGCCCATGAACCCTGACCTCCCCGCTGACCTCTTTACATCCTGTCTCACTACGCCCATCAAGATCGCCCTACGTTGGTAATGTCTCTCTCATTTTCAATCCTTTTTTATCTCTGCTTCTTCCTCCCCCCATTACAAGTCTGAAACATAGAGGCATCGATAAAGAGGAGACGGTACATCTGGAATATGTTCTGAAGTAATGAGGTAGATTGGATGGGTTTTCTTTGGTCAGCTCGCATGTTAAAGGTGTAGAATAAAATATCATTTTCGTGGTATTACACATCGCTTCAGAATACAGACGTACCAGCTTTAAATATTGATATGTTTGTAACACGGAGCCCTAAACAAATCAACTTCTGTTGCTACTTACCATATTTTCCACACTATGAGGCGCACTTGAAATCTCAAAAATTGAGAGTCCGCATTATAATCCAATGCGCCTGATGCTGGTTGTGCTTACTGACCTCAAACCGATTTTATGTGGTACACGGCACTCAAAAATCTGTCAAAAAATGTTTTAGAACGACTTTGGTAAGCTAGGAAGCCGCAACATTACAGCTGCGTAGTCAGGAGCCTCACGGAGGAATCTGGGTCCAAAACTCCGTCTGCTTCAGGTCCCAAAGTCAAACGAACACTGCGGCATCACTGAGAGTTAAAACACGTCTAAATTCTTTCATCTGTAATAAAACGATCAGCGTTGCTGCTTTAACAGTTGTAAGAGTTAAGTTTAACATGCAGGCATCCATGAAAACAGAATTTATGAAATTTAATGGAGTTAGAAGTTAGCAGGAAGTTAGCTCGCTAGTTTCCACCTGAACATGATATAGAATGTTTTGACTGAGAGGTTTCTGAAAAAATTAAAAAGTACAGCTTTGCTATCACTTCCAACATAAATGAAGATAGAAAACTAAACAGCAGTTACGTTTGTAGGGTTGCTGAAGTTGGGCTAGCTGGTATTTAATGATGTGCTACGTGGTCGCTAGCGACGCAGCTATGTTAGCATAACAAACAGTGAAGCTGCAGGATGAACGCTAACTTTTTTCCACTCAGTAAAAGTTAACGTGGGGGTTCCAATCGCATAGCAGGATGCTGAAAAGGGACCAAACGTCAGTCAGGAGAACAACTGAGATAATCCATCCACAATACGAGGTTAGTTATTAATATACTGCAACAACAACAGAATAGAGCAGCTGTGAGATAATTCAACATTAATGAATCAATGGTACGGAAGTGGAGGAAGCAAGAAGAATGAGCTGAGTAAAATGTGACTTATCTGACTTTTTTGTTTCACTTAATGCGCCTTATAATCTGGTGCGCCTTATGGTCCGAAAAATAGGGTAATAGCTGCTCATCATGGAGCATGTTTTGCTCTTCACCAGTCCAGTCTCCCTGCGTCTTTTTGTGTGTGGTGGTTTTCAAACTTTTTGTGTCCAAGGACACCAAAGGTCAAGCAACAGTTTTAGGGCATATTTGCATTCATGTCTGCATTAAACGGCTTCTGTGTAAGTTCTTCTTGAGTTCTTCTTTTGATTACATCATCAGAAAAAGCACTATTGACAGCCCCTTTTTGCAGCATTTGGACCTGGCATGATATCTGCTGTATATATAGAAACACCTCAATCGCGTTATTAGACACTTTATCACAATCCAACAAATGGTCTGATTGCCTGTGGTTGTGATCCAGGGCTATAAGCCAAATTTCCCTCAGAATGGATGTTTGGTTTCCAAGCGCCTCTTTAACTTGTTTGGCATCATGTAAGCATTAGTCAACCTCTTCTGACAGATGATGCACCGCAGGGAAGGCCTGTTGACATCAAATTCCTGCTTTTGTGCAAATGCAGAAAGAAACTAATGTTTTTGAGGGGAATTGGGCACATACAAACAACTGACAGAGAAAATTAACAATTAATTTAAAGCCTTTAGTGTTTTTGTGCTTAGCAAGAGTTGTAATTTGGTTGCCTGAAAATCCCACAGTACATGAGGGGCTAATCCATGTTTATGGATATATTTTTAAACATGCAGGAAATTGTGCGTCAGTCTTTCAATTATTTCAGATGCTTGTTAGCAAGTCACAGCTTGGATACTCTGAGAATATGAAGTTGTGTCCTGTGCAGAGAGCAAACATTCCTCTGAGCTTCTGCTCAGTATTCAGCCATGATGAGAAAATTCAGCTGTGATGAAAAATGTAGATCGGCATCATCCACAGTGATGCAGAAATGATGATCCCTGCAGAGAACTCTTCAGTAAAAGAGGTGAAAAATATTCAGGCGAAATGAGTTCATTTGGGAAACTTGGCTTATACAGTGGCCTGATGTAAATGCACTATGATGCATCATTCAGAGGACTGTACTGATGGAGCTTCAAGCTGAACCGTGGGGGCATGTAGGTTACATCAGTCCGTCAGTGGTGTGTTGGGTGGTGTGGGGGGGGGCTTGCACAAAGAGGCAGGGGTGATTGCATCAGCTCTGATATCCTGTCAGGACACACACATACTGTGGATACGCATTTATACCCAGTAAGTCCACATTATCTCTGAGGGAGCTGTCATTTCTGACTGGTAAATGCAGGTGACGGGTCTGGGTGTCACACTTCCCCATATGTACAAATGTGTCAGTGGCTCAGTAACCAGGTTTTAATCCCTCATATCGGACCATTTAAATAAGGAAAATCGGACACCATTGGTAACTCTACTAAATTATGAGTAAAGTTATTTTTGTACCCAAATTTAACCAAAATGAGTGTAAATCAAAAGCATGGATGCATTGGTCTTGCATTCCACCTTTTGATCTTGCCTTTTGTGTGCAACCTTTCAGGTTTCAAAGACTTAAGTGCACAAGAGGGTGGAGTACTTTTTGCAGTGTCATTACTTGATACCTTTCTTAAAAGTAATGCACTATGTTACCTACTTTATAAACTGACCTGAAATGTGCTGCCACATAATTACTAAGTTAATAGTGTAAAGCTTAGATACAGTCCCACACACCACAGTTAGAAATGGAGGCTAAAAGGCTGCACGCCTGACTGCTCGTCACTGCTTTTGTCACTAGTTGAAGTTTGGCATAGACTCAAATTTATGGGGTCATAACACTTAATGTTGTGTTAGCAGTATAATGCAGTTGCACTTTACCATTGTTCTCTTTTCTATTTTTGCACAAGAAATCGTTTGTGGTGTGGAGATGGTGATTGAGAAAGTAAAAGCAAAAAGGAGTTTTTTTGTTACATGATACCTGAAAAATTCAGGTGAGCGCCTCATCTTTGATGCATTACCAGCCCAGATACAGTCTCTATCTGCAGTCTTCTTGCTCCCTTTGGTGCCATAAATCAGTTCTTACTTGCACCGTTTTTTGCATTTTAATTGCTGAATCTACTTTGCACACAGTAGAAGTCACAGGGATGATTTAACAAGTTTTCGACTGGGAATGTGAAACTTTTTTTTAAGTGTATAAGTGAGAATGGCAGGCTGCCTGCAGGAGGTGTCCTACAGCTAGATAAATGTTTCTTCTCTGCCATAAATGTTGAAGAGTTTCGTTCATCTTTCTCTAAATCCACATCTAGCCGTGACCTTCAGCATAATGAGGTCTCAGTTTTATGCCATTAATATTGATATCCCTTACCAACGTCTCCTTTTGGAGAACAAGTTGCTGAAAGGCTGCTGGATAATATTGACAGAGATGTTCTTTAATGCCCTCTGCCTTCAAAAATGGATGCTGTGGCCTGCAGGGGAAAGTTTGGGCTGATCTTTTCTGATAAAGACTCAGGTCAACCTTCACTGGTTTGTATTAATGAATCGAACTTGTTGGTTGGTAATGACCCAGGGGAAATTTGGTCATGTATTATGTATGTGCTATATATGAAATTTCCTTACTTAGCTCAGTGGAATTTGATAAGCTCATTTAACATAAATCTGACATGAACATCAGAAAAATTTAAAGTTATTCATTCACTCAGTCTTTGTTTGAACATGGAATAAAAATTGCAAAATGCAGATTCACCCGATAATGACATCAATATATTTTAATTCAATTGTACTTCTATAAAAGATGCATAAAACGATACAATCATCATCAATTTGTAGTGTTCGGTTTTTCTGTGTGTTAAAATGGGTCCTATTGCAAACTCATAATGATGCATTTTTCCTAATAAGTTCATAAACAATATAATGCAGCTTTACTTTATGGGTTTTCTAATAACTTTTTTATATTAATCTCTATAAACACATTCTGTTCATGAGTATGTAGAGTCTGTTGGCAAAAGTCAAGAAAGAAAAGTCACTGTTTGAGCTCTTGGATTGTGTGTATTGATCGATCTCTGCTGTGTTCACCAGGTAGATACAGTCGCTTTCAGCTGGCAGAGACTGTTGGCTGAAAGCGGCAGTTTTGAGTGGCTTTGAGTTTGTTTCCAGTTTTGTCATCCATGTGTTATATCAACCCACCGGACAGATGGGTGGGCGGTGTGACACCTAAATTTGTGAATGCAATAACTCGAGAACGAGGTGACGTAGGAGCTTCAAACTGAGATTAATTTCGGTCTGACATTATATTATGGGAGACTTTATACAAAGACGGGCATATCCACTGTTATGCCTAGAAACCAAAGAGCGATATATCGAATGGTCCACTTCAGCCTTCTGCCTGTTGCCATCTTAATTTTCTGGAGTCAGAAGTAAACATGTTGGCCAGAGAATGGAGTGCTGAGTTGTGAGCCAAGGTTAGCAAGCTGTGTCCATAGACTGTACAAATGCATTACTGGTGATTTTAGATACAGTGTAGTTCAGACCATCCAAGAAGTGCTCTTGGATGGTCTGAACTACACTGTATCTAAAATCACGAGTGAGAGCTCCAATTCACCAAAGATGCTTTGCCGAAGAAAAGGATCTGCTGCTGGGAAAAATGAGCTGTGAAGACCAACATTGTTTTTGTACCAGACTGCAAACATGTTTCTTTCTGCTGTAAAGTTGGAAACTGTAACCAGCTTTAAGTGGTCATTGCTACTGTTAAGCTTTATTTTTGAAATTACCATTATTCCTTAATGGCCACTTGGCTGATATTCAGCAGTAGTTAAAGCCACATAGTGTCTTG